ACTACTACGGCTGCTGCTTGCTACTATTACACTACTACTGCTGTTGCTACTACTACACTACTGACTGCTAACTGCTACTATTACTCCTACTACTGCTGCTGCTACTATTACACTACTACTGCTGCTGACTACTACTATTACACTACTACTGCTGCTATCTGCTACTATTACTACTACTACTACTATTACACTGCTGCTACTATTACACTACTACTGCTGCTGCTACTATTACACTACTACTGCTGCTGATACTATTACTACTACTACTACTGCTGTATGCTGCTACTATTACACTACTACTGCTGTTGCTACTATTACACTACTACTGCTGTTGCTACTATTACACTACTACTGCTGTTGCTGCTACTATTACACTACTACTGCTGTTGCTGCTACTATTACACTACTACTGCTGTTGCTGCTGCTACTATTACACTACTACTGCTGCTGCTACTATTACTACTACTGCTACTACTACTGTTCAACTACTGCTACTATTACACTACTACTGCTGTTGCTACTATTACACTACTACTGCTGTTGCTGCTACTATTACACTACTACTGCTGTTGCTACTATTACACTACTACTGCTGTTGCTACTATTACACTACTACTGCTGTTGCTACTATTACACTACTACTGCTGTTGCTGCTACTATTACACTACTACTACTGCTACTACTACTATTACACTACTACTGCTACTGCTGCTACTATTACACTACTACTGCTGCTGCTGCTACTATTACACTACTACTGCTGCTGCTACTACTATTACACTACTACTGCTGCTGCTACTATTACACTACTACTGCTGCTGCTGCTACTATTACACTACTACTGCTGCTGCTGCTACTTTTACACTACTACTGCTGCTGCTGCTACTATTACACTACTACTGCTGCTGCTACTACTATTACACTACTACTGCTGCTACTACTATTACACTACTGCTGCTGCTATTACACTACTACTGCTACTGCTGCTACTATTACACTACTACTGCTGCTTCTGCTACTATTACACTACTACTGCTGTTGCTACTATTACACCACTACTGCTGTTGCTACTATTACACTACTACTGCTGTTGCTACTATTACACTACTACTGCTGTTGCTGCTACTATTACACTACTACTGCTGCTGCTACTATTACACTACTACTGCTGTTGCTGCTACTATTAAACTACTACTGCTGCTGCTACTATTACACTAATACTGCTGCTACTATTACACTACTACTGCTGTTGCTGCTACTATTACACTACTACTGCTGTTGCTACTATTACACTACTACTGCTGTTGCTACTATTACACTACTACTGCTGTTGCTACTATTACACTACTACTGCTGTTGCTGCTACTATTACACTACTACTGCTGTTGCTACTATTACACTACTACTGCTACTGCTGCTACTATTACACTACTACTGCTGTTGCTACTATTACACTACTACTGCTGCTACTACTATTACACTACTACTGCTACTGCTGCTACCATTACACTACTACTGCTGCTGCTACTATTACACTACTACTGCTGCTACTATTACACTACTACTGCTGCTGCTACTATTACACTACTACTGCTGTTGCTACTATTACACTACTACTGCTGCTGCTACTATTACACTACTACTGCTGTTGCTACTATTACACTACTACTACTGCTGCTACTATTACACTACTACTGCTGCTGCTACTATTACACTACTACTGCTGTTGCTACTATTACACTACTACTGCTGTTGCTACTATTACACTACTACTGCTGTTGCTGCTATTACACTACTACTGCTGTTGCTACTATTACACTACTACTGCTGTTGCTGCTACTATTACACTACTACTGCTGTTGCTACTATTACACTACTACTGCTGCTACTACTATTACACTACTACTGCTACTTCTGCTACTATTACACTACTACTGCTGCTGCTACTATTACACTACTACTGCTGCTGCTACTATTACACTACTACTGCTGTTGCTGCTACTATTAAACTACTACTGCTGCTGCTACTATTACACTAATACTGCTGCTACTATTACACTACTACTGCTGTTGCTGCTACTATTACACTAATACTACTGCTACTATTACACTACTACTGCTGTTGCTACTATTACACTACTACTGCTGTTGCTGCTACTATTACACTACTACTGCTGTTGCTACTATTACACTACTACTGCTGTTGCTGCTACTATTAAACTACTACTGCTGCTGCTACTATTACACTAATACTGCTGCTACTTTTACACTACTACTGCTGTTGCTACTATTACACTACTACTGCTGTTGCTACTATTACACTACTACTGCTGTTGCTACTATTACACTACTACTGTTGTTGCTGCTATTACACTACTACTGCTGTTGCTGCTACTATTAAACTACTACTACTGCTGCTACTATTACACTACTACTGCTGTTGCTACTATTACACTACTACTGCTGTTGCTACTATTACACTACTAATACTGCTACTATTACGCCCACTGCTGCTGCTACTAATAATGCTGCTGCTGCTGCTATTACACTACTACTGGTACTGCTGCTGCTATTACACTACTACTGCTGCTGCTACTATTACACTACTACTGCTGCTGCTGCCACTGTTACACTACTACTGCTGCTGCTGCTACTATAACACTACTGCTACTATTACACTACTGCTACTATTACACTAATACTGCTGCTACTATTATACTTCTGCTGTTGCTGCTATTACACTGTTGCTGCTGCTACTATTACACTACTGCTGCTGCTACTATTACACTGCTGTTGCTGCTATTACATTACTGCGGCTACTATTACGATACTGCTGCTACTGTTACACTACTACTGCTACTGTTACACCACTGCTGCTACCAACACCACCACCACCACCGCCAACACTACTTCTTCTATAATATTTGAAAAACAAACACAGTTCATAAATTAGTTTCGATTCATAGAAGTAAAAAAGAGATGCAGATACTATACATTATACTAGATCAGTGTTCTTTAACTTCTAGTCTGATTCACGGAGTTTCACCACACATTTCCGCCAGATCATGTGGCTGCGATATCGTTGAGGGGCCACATTGCAGTTGACGAATGAGATGCTGCACGCGATAGTGTAGCGCCAGAAGAATAGCCTCGACCGTAAAAAAAAACCAAACAGTGAAAGTGAATGTATGTTATTGCAGAGCTTTGTCTCCAAAAAACGACGTCCCAGCCTCATTTACAAGATTTTATAACCTCATAGCAACAGATGTCGCATTTGCTAAACCTAATATTTTAATAATATGAATAAATAAATAAAATCTGGTGCACATTTAGTGCGGCACATTGTTTTAGAGGTTAGTGAAATCATTTCACAATCACATTTTTGACATACCAGTGCTAGATTTTTGCAGCGGTAGATTTAGATAGTAGTGATCAGAAAGAATAGAAAAACAAACGAAGCAGTCCTCATAGAGACAGATGACAGTCATCAACTTATTAGAACTTTCAGAGGTAGACAGTCGGTGATGTGGGGTGGACTCGAGGACTTTGTAACAACTGGCAAGATGGATGGAAAGAGAGCATGAGATAAGCAAAGCGATAAATACCTAGATGGTCTGACCAGATGGATGGGGCGAGACAGAACATTGAACTGATCGGTGATTTGGGCGATCGTGTGGGATGGTGAAGCATGACAGCCTACGCTTACCGGCACGGTACATAATGATAAAGACACAGATAGTAGTACGAGAAATGCACTGAGGTAGATATTAGGGCCTTATCGCCTGATTTTCCCAGAGAGGCTATGGATTGACTGCAGCCAACGTTCGTCGCGACGACCACACCTTCAAAAAACATCTTCTTCTTCTTTTTCTTCTTCTTCTTTTTCTTTTTCTTCTTGTACCGCTGCCTTGCCTGCATTTGAAAACAAATTAGAAGCTCTTTAATTGCATCAGTACATGTTCTCCTAGGATGGCCTCTAGTTTTCACTTCAGATCTTGTCATGTCTAGCGTCTGCATTGGTTGTTGGTTCTGGCTGTATTCTTACTAAATTACCGAACCAGTTAGGCAATAATTTGCATAATCTGATGGCGTCTTCTTTGTTCACACTCGCCCTCGACACACCAAAGTGTGAACACGCGCCCTCGACACACCAAAGTGTGAACACGCGCCCTCGACACACCAAAAGTGTGAACACGCGCCCTCGACACACCAAAGTGTGAACACATGACATACGGAGGTGTGAAAACGGCCCTTGTTTGTTTCCTTGTCTAACGGCAATCTAGTTTGAAAAACACTGGACATTTTTCTCTAGTCACTCCAACTGGATCACAGGCCTACTCCTTACGGACGCCAAGTCTGTTGTTAGTTTGTTTACGGTTGACTGAACTCTAGTTCACTTTTGCTAGAAGCTCAGGTAGCCAGTTCTTCTTAGTCTCCTTTTACGACATTCATGACCGATTACAGTGTTACATTTATTGGCGTCTCCTGTGGACAGCCATGGAAGTAATTAACACTTCATCTTCATTCAATACGAATACACTCCAACAGAAAAACCCTTCACCCACCCATCACATCTTTTATCAGTTAATATTTAACATGAACGCTCATTTAAACATCTCGCTCTTTCTTTTCCGAGCGCCACTTGCCATAGCTGCTATATATTTTTTTATAATATGACATACGTGAATAAAACAATCTAGTAAAAGCAACCAAAACAAACACAACAGCATGTCAGGGTACACTGACAACAATATACTGAAATTTGATTACATCGTGTAGAGATACTTCATTCTCTCCTTGACAGGCCAAAAAATTATTGCGTCATGTTTTGTCTCCACTCCAAGATGGTCATTCATCGGCCATGTTCAATCATCCTTGACTCATTGTTACAGCCATTGATTCTTGTGGAGACAATGCCAGTGGTCGGCGAATGTCTGCAAGCATCAATCACGACAACCAGCAAATGGCAGATGTCAGAGCTTATTTGACGAATCAAAACAATGGCGCCGGAAACGACTTCACTAACTAGACTATCAAGTTAGTTGGATTGGAAAATTTTCTGCAGTTTTTTGTTTTTTTTTGTGTTGATGTTGAGCAATTTTCTAAGCTGATTGAAATATAATTTTCTTGTAGCCAGACAAGCGGCAAATGAAGACGAAAAATAAAACCACTCGTTTTGTCAAGTAGCTGAAAGAGAAACAAACACATTTCAGTTGACGGTTTTTTATTTAATTTGAAATGAATCACGGATTGAAACCGCTGGGTTAATGCCAAACACAGATGGCCAGGGACGCGTACAATCTGGTCTCTACAAATGTAAATTTCTGGTCGTGATGACCAATGTGGCAACAATTGTTCTCATGTAGTATGATTAGTACATCTCAGACTACTGATTGTCACACAAGTACCCATAGTACATCCCAGAATAATGATTGTCACACAAGTACCCATAGTACACCTGAGACTACTGATTGTCACACAAGTAACCAGTCATCCCAGAATACTGATTGTTACACAAGTACCCATAGTACATCACAGAATAATGATTGTCACACAAGTACCCATAGTACACCTGAGACTACTGATTGTCACACAAGTACCCATAGTACATCCCAGAATACAGATTGTCACACAAGTACCCAGAGTACATCTCAGTTAAATGCTCTGTAATCAATGTATGAGGTTTTTTGTTATCTTTGTCTTTAAAAACTACTTAGTTTTTTTTTTCTCTTCCTTCACACTCATGGCTTTCTTCCTATTTTGCTTATCTTCGTGTGGGTACCAAGGCCCCTTTTTGAAATGGGGAGGGGGCGATGGACCCGCAGCCCCCTAACAGGTGTGTTGTAAAATGCCGATAATAAAGGGTTTGTTACAATCAGAGGTGATAGGCAAAGTCGCATGTACCGCAGCCTAGCTGAAACCCACAAAACAATAGGCCAACCACCTATTTGTGAGTGAATGTAGAAGAAAACGAAGAGAAAAAAAAGAAGAAGACGAAGAGAAAAAGGAAGTCTTTTTCCAAGAAACGCATATCTCCACTACCGTGACAACAAGACAAACACTGAAACAGGTGACAGGCGGATAGATTTATGCGACGCTTTTTGTGGTCAGGAAAGTCGCAGCTGCTCACCAACAATGTGTCTGTTACAGTCGAGCTGACAATAAAGTGAAGCGTAAACACTGGTGCCGGTACCTCCCACCGCTGCCTGCACCAGAAAAAAACCAACCTGGATGCGAAGAGAAAAAGAGGAAGAAAAGGAGATAATATATTTGACAGCCTTTTTTCACGGCCTGATATGCTTCTATTGACATGTTTCCTCGGCACTTAGAAATAAAGTCAGTAAAAGATCTTTTCTATGTCCTGGACAAATATAAAACCTAACGAAAAGTAGATCAGAGAACTTCACAGTATAGCAAACACAAACAAAACGTAAACGTTGCGGCAATAGTGTCTTCATAAGCACACACATAAATCACACACATCACAAGCCACGTTAATGTCTTGCCAGTGAAATTAGAAGATCCGTGGGTCCACGAATATGAGTAGCCGTGGAATGCTGTGCCGGGGGCCATAACTCGATAATTTTAGATGAAACTGTGTTGACAGATCAGTCCCCTGGGGTAAGAGTTCCCAAAGTGGAAAAAAAGCGATTTTCAAGAGACTTGCCCACTCAGTCGCTGGTGTGGCTAGATTTGATGGCTGTCGCCTCCATGTCATGGACACCTTAGTGATCCTGGGAATCAAAGTGCAACGGTATTCGGTATAGATTTACCTTTCGATGTCAGTGATGTCAAATGTCAGATGTCAGTGGTGTCAGATGTCAGTGATGTCAGTGATGTCAGATGTCAGTGATGTCAGATGTCAGTGATGTCAGATGTCAGTGGTACATCGACCTTATGATGCTTAACTTATATTTTATTTAGACCATTCGGTATTCTGATTTGATGTGGTCGACAGCACATCGACCGCCTTTACTTCCCATGACATCACTTTGAGGCTAAGTCCACCTGGGAGCTAAGATCGATTTTGAAAAATCCGCGTCGATGCAGATTTGAACTCAAGACCTTTTGGTGGGCAAACAAGTGACTGAGACCATGTCAAGTTAGTTGTGTATCCTTAACATAGGCCAGCTTTTCGTGGGCTGTTTGTGATTTTACTGGGCACTTTTACAGTCAGTTATTTGCCATTGCTCTCTAAATAGTCGGCTAACGATACTACTGTAGAAAGCGAACGGGGAACGGTCAGCTACCAATTCACTTGCAGCTGGAATCGAACCCAGTGCCTTGGAATCCAGATTTGTAGCTTTCAAAGTAAAGAAAACAAAACAGCGCCGCTAGCTTTCAGCTGAGAGTGATCTTTATTGTGCCTTGTCTAACAGCAGAGTACAAATAGAAGGTGTCAACCATCACAGAAATATTTGGACACTCAATGACCAATTCTTGGTGATTTCTTATCTTGGTATTGAACACTTTGTTTTTTTGTGGATAAGTTCTTGTTAACAGTACACGGGTTGTTTTTCTTATTATTCTGTTTTTAATCACATCTTGTTGGGTTTGGGGAAGGGGGTGGGGGGGGGGGAAGGTGGTGGTCTTGATAAATACACGAAAGAGGGGTGGTGACAGGGTGCCGACTAAAAAAAGATTGATGTCCACTGCCTTAATCTGACCAATTTATTTCCAAACCTTATTTTGGAATTTTTGAACGAAGAACACAATTTTCTATTATCATAATTCTAAGTTTTCTCCTAGCATTGTTGAAACGATATTGCTTTCTATCGAGATTTTATCTTCGATATGTTGAACGAACGAGATTTCCTATTGTTATTTTTGTTTATTTATTTTATTTCTCCAGAGGAGGAGACACCAAGAATATGGAAAAATATTCCGGGAACAGTTTGGGTCCCAGTACAACGTGCTGGTCTCTGACCCTGCTCTGATGGAAGAGATCCTGAGGACGGAAGGAAAGTTTCCCTCGCGACCACCTTACGAGTCGTGGGTTCTCTACAGCAATCTCAGACATAGGCGAGGAGGACTGATGACAGCGTGAGTTGTTGGAGTGTGTGTAGGAGGACTGATGACAGCGTGAGTTGTTGGAGTGTGTGTAGGAGGACTGATGACAGCGTGAGTTGTTGGAGTGTGTGTAGGAGGACTGATGACGGTGTGAGTTGTTGGGGTGTGTGAAGGAGGACTGATGACAGCGTGAGTTGTTGGAGTGTGTGTAGGAGGACTGATGACAGCGTGAGTTGTTGGAGTGTGTGAAGGAGGACGGATGACAGCGTGAGTTGTTGGGGGTGTGTGTGTAGGAAGACTGATGACAGCGTGAGTTGTTGGAGTGTGTGTAGGAGGACGGATGACAGCGTGAGTTGTTGGAGTGTGTGTAGGAGGACTGCTGACAGCGTGAGTTGTTAGGGTGTGTGTAGGAGGACTGATGACAGCGTGAGTTGTTGGAGTGTGTGTAGGAGGACTGATGACAGCGTGAGTTGTTAGGGTGTGTGAAGGAGGACGGATGACAGCGTGAGTTGTTGGAGTGTGTGAAGGAGGACGGATGACAGCGTGAGTTGTTGGGGTGTGTGTAGGAGGACTGATGACAGCGTGAGTTGTTGGAGTGTGTGTAGGAGGACTGATGACTGCGTGAGTTGTTGGAGTGTGTAGGAGGACTGATGACAGCGTGAGTTGTTGGGGTGTGTGTAGGAGGACTGATGACAGCGTGAGTTGTTGGGGTGTGTGTAGGAGGACGGATGACAGCGTGAGTTGTTGGAGTTTGTGTAGAAGGACTGATGACAGCGTGAGTTGTTGGAGTTTGTGTAGGAGGACTGATGACAGCGTGAGTTGTTGGGGTTTGTGTAGGAGGACTGATGACAGCGTGAGTTGTTGGAGTTTGTGTAGGAGGACTGATGACAGCGTGAGTTGTTGGGGTGTGTGTAGGAGGACTGATGACAGCGTGAGTTGTTGGGGTGTGTGTAGGAGGACGGATGACAGCGTGAGTTGTTGGAGTTTGTGTAGGAGGACTGATGACAGCGTGAGTTGTTAGAGTGTGTGTAGGAGGACTGATGACAGCGTGAGTTGTTGGGGAGTGTGTAGAAGGACTGATGACAGCGTGAGTTGTTGGGGAGTGTGTGTAGGAGGACTGATGACAGCGTGAGTTGTTGGGGAGTGTGTGTAGGAGGACTGATGACAGCGTGAGTTGTTGGGGAGTGTGTGTAGGAGGACTGATGACAGCGTGAGTTGTTGGGGTGTGTGTAGGAGGACTGATGACAGCGTGAGTTGTTGGAGTGTGTGTAGGAGGACTGATGACAGCGTGAGTTGTTGGGGTGTGTGTAGGAGGACTGATGACAGCGTGAGTTGTTGGGGAGTGTGTAGGAGGACTGATGACAGTGTGAGTTGTTGGGGAGTGTGTAGGAGGACTGATGAGAGCGTGAGTTGTTGGGGAGTGTGTAGGAGGACTGATGACAGCGTGAGTTGTTGGGGTGTGTGTAGGAGGACTGATGACAGCGTGAGTTGTTGGAGTTTGTGTAGGAGGACTGATGACAGCGTGAGTTGTTGGAGTTTGTGTAGGAGGACTGATGACAGCGTGAGTTGTTGGGGAGTGTGTAGGAGGACTGATGACAGCGTGAGTTGTTGGGGTGTGTGTAGGAGGACTGATGACAGCGTGAGTTGTTGGAGTGTGTGTAGGAGGACTGATGACTGCGTGAGTTGTTGGAGTGTGTGTAGGAGGACTGATGACAGCGTGAGTTGTTGGGGTGTGTGTAGGAGGACTGATGACAGCGTGAGTTGTTGGAGTTTGTGTAGGAGGACTGATGACTGCGTGAGTTGTTGGAGTGTGTGTAGGAGGACTGATGACAGCGTGAGTTGTTGGGGAGTGTGTAGAAGGACTTATGACAGCGTGAGTTGTTGGGGAGTGTGTAGGAGGACTGATGACAGCGTGAGTTGTTGGGGTGTGTGTAGGAGGACTGATGACAGCGTGAGTTGTTGGAGTGTGTGTATGGCTCGTTTATTTTCCTGCTGTGCTCTTCCTGGTGACAATGACTCTTTAGATTTATTCGAATCTCGCTATCTGCGCAATCGCAGTAGTCTGTCATTACTTTGTTTCTGGGTAATCGTCCAATCAGATGTCTCTGCAATAAAAGTCGGCTGCATTGAAAGCGGACAGAAAACGAAGAAGATCAAGAGAGACCCTCCGTAGAACAATCATCAGGTAAGGCTCAAACATGGGCTTAATGATCTACAACAGATGGCAACGAACCACCAGACGTTGGAGAGCTGTGCCCTCTGCCCCATGCTCCGCCCTTGGCTCAAGAGGAAAGACTAACTAATGAATCTCTAACACTGTGTCTCTCCCCCAGGTTGTGCACTCCCAGAGACTGCTGGACGTCCATCTCTTTCTGCTACCCTCCCGTTTGTATCACTGTCTACTTTTTGCTAGTCGGCGTCTTTAGCTTAGGCGTTGCGAACGGGCTTTGAAATACCTGGGCACTCTGTTCGATTTCAACTGCAGGCGATTTGACAGAAGACTACCTTGCGTTAGTTTGGACAGTGGTATCGAGAGCAAGTAGTTCAGTAGCAGCAACAAACTACTGAACATACATTTGCCTAGAATAATGACAACAGCCAAAACATTTAGGGATTGGTTCTGCAACGTCATGTACAGAAAACGCAACAAACTAACTACTTCTGGCTCCATTGACAACCTGTTCCGTACAGTCCTTTTTATATCAGTGTCATGTTTTTCATGTGGCTGGGTCATTTAATTGTCCGTTTTATTTCTTGTAACAAATATATTGTTACTCCTTCTCTTCCCAGCTTCCGTATTTGCTTGCTATTGTTTCTACTAAATAAAATAGGCTAATAGAAAAAACTTGGTCAGACTAGAGTAATAATGTCTCAAACAAATTCAGAGTAACTTTCATGAGGAACGAATTGTTAGCATTGAATGAGATGATGCTGATAGTTGAGACGGGGATGGCGATGGTTGAGACGGTGATGGCGATGGTTAGAGCAGTGATGGCGATGCTGTGACTGTGCTTATTTAACGACCCGATGCTGTTACCAGAACTTGATGCTGCAACATTAGGCTCTGCCTTCTTGGCAGTCTAAAGATGTAAACATTGCCAGTATATCTTTATGCAAATTTTATTATAGCCGCAACCTGACACACGGCTAGGCAGTATCAGACGTTTGCCTAGCCGCAACCTGGCAGTATCAGAAGTTTGTCTAGCCGCAACATGACAGTATCAGAAGTTTGTCTAGCCGCAACCTGACACTTTTGGGCAGTATCAGAAGTTTTTCTGTCCGCAACCTGACACACGGCTGGGCAGTATCAAAAGTTTGTCTGGCCGCAATCTGACACTTTTGGGCAGTATCAGAAGGTTGTCTAGCCGCAACCTGACACTTTTGGGCAGTATCAGAAGTTTTTCTGGCCGAAACCTGACACACGGCTGGGCAGTATCAGAAGTTTTTTTGGCCAAAACCTGACACACGGCTGGGCAGTATCAGAAGTTTGTCTAGCCGCAACCTGACACACGGTTGGGCAGTATCAGAAGTTTGTCTAGCCGCAACCTGACACACGGTTGGGCAGTATCAGAAGTTTGTCTAGCCGCAACCTGACACACGGCTAGGCAGTATCAGAAGTTTGTCTAGCCGCAACCTGACACACGGTTGGGCAGTATCAGAAGTTTGTCTAGCCGCAACCTGACACACGGTTGGGCAGTATCAGAAGTTTGTCTAGCCGCAACCTGACACACGGCTAGGCAGTATCAGAAGTTTGTCTAGCCGCAACCTGACACACGGTTGGGCAGTATCAGAAGTTTGTCTAGCCGCAACCTGACACACGGTTGGGCAGTATCAAAAGGTTGAATTTCCAATCTACATCGCAGCATTTGGTACATTCTCAACAATTCCCCATCCCCATCTTCAGCGCGGAGTTGCAGCTCAACGATACTGGTAACAGTCTGATTGTTTATCCTTCTCGTATATCTCTTGAGTGTCGGTCAGATCCCCTGGTAACTCCTCGTATCACCATTCTCCTCAGACAGTGATGATCTGTGTGTGCCTCTGCACTGTTCACTCGCTTCCAAAGGGCTCTTACAACATCTAGCGTGTCATGCTTTGATTCACCACAAAGTGGTGTTGAATCAGCCAGTCTATCTGCCTCTTCGTTTTAAAAAACACCTGGCAAAAGTATTCAAAGGACGTAAACTACCCGGGATATCCGTCTGTGACCTTGAGGAAAAAACTCTGTAGAGCTGATACAGGTCACCACGACCCGGATCCGTAGGAGACATGTAACCTGGCACGGCACACGATGGCGATGTTGTATGACATTCTCTTGCTATAGATGTCTCGGGAGATATTTACACCAGCATTGATTCGACAGACACCCAAGAGCAGGCCGTTTGGTCATTGATCACTGCTGAGTGTTGCCTGGGGAAAACGGACCAGTCGTTAAGATTCCATAACAGTATTTCTCACTTCTGCATTAGAGACCATTAGCTGGGTACACATTTTGCAATGAACTACATTACCCGGGGTCGACCCAGTCTTGTAACTGACGACTAACCCTGGGCTACCCCCCCCCCCCTTCCTGACCCAGTCCCCTTCTTACTGTGGATATAGACGTAACTGTTGGAAACAGATACAACAGATAGCACATGTAGGTAGATAGGAGCACAAAGGGTACATAAATCACGATCATCATCTGGCAAATTCTTACAGAGCGGCCATTTTATCATTACTTGTTCAAACTAGTCTGTAGCGGCTCTCACTGGTTGCCTAGTGTTTGTGTGTGGACTGTGTTTTCTATCGGTTGTTTTGTTCAAGGGATGTGCTTGGGGCTTCTTAGTAAAAGTTAATGGTCGACGTTTGGTGCAGGAGAGCCAAGCATATGATACCACAACATCCAGCTTAAGAATGGAGGTGGAGGCGGTCACTGCAGCTTTCCGCTGGCTAGATAACACGACACACACACACATTGTGACTGTAACTGATTCAGAGAGCATGCTGATGAAGATCAGAGCTAGTGTTTTGTGCTGAGTGGCATGCTTCGCTGCAGAGTGGCATGCTTCGTGCAGAGTGGCATGCTTCGTGCAGAGTGGCATGCTTCGTGCAGAGTGGCATGCTTCGTGCAGAGTGGCATGCTTCGTGCAGAGTGGCATGCTTCGTGCAGAGTGGCATGCTTCGTGCGGAGTGGCAGGCTTCGCTGCGGAGGACACGAGTGAGGTGTATTGTCTGGATTTTTTCTCCGGGTCACACCGGTGTGTTGGGAAATGAACAGACGGACAGACTGGCTGGCTCTGCACAACTTGGTGGAATACTGATACATGATAGGGCAGACGTGGTTAGTGCCTTGTGGAAATTGTGTGCAATTCGGAGGAGCAGATGGATCACCACAGTCTGGTGAGATTGATGCAGAGGTTCTGGCAGATGCTCGAGGCTTAGAGGAAAGGCAAGACGGACGTTTAATCAGAATGCTACTGGCACCATTAGTATCGGAACTCTTCGCTGGCTGCTGAAGATGGGGACGGAACGCTTATAGGAATGCCCCGAGGGCTGTGATGTCGGTTTTTGAATTAAATCAAATCAAATCGGTTGTTTTGTGTGTCTTATCCTCTGTTAAAGCATAGACAAGATTTTACTCCACTCAGCCCTCATCCAACCTTATTCTTGTCTTGTTCTGTTTCTTGTTCTTCATTTCACCTGCACCTGGAAAGTTATGATTTGTTCCACTTCTAGACTTTAGTCTGGTTCCAGAACTTGAGTTATACGTGCCCATCGGTTTTACAGATAAGGCTTATTTGAATGCAGACTATTGGTTCCTGCCATTCAAAGGCTGTTGTTCGTCCATGAAGACCACTTTCATCCAAAGCAGTAATGATCAATGATTATGAGTACAAAGATGGCTGGTTAGTCCAATATAAGCCTGGAAAGTTCTTGAGCAGTGCGGACAACAGATGGAAGCTTTAGTAAGTGTGGGATTAGCAGTTCAGTTCTTTCAGTCTGCCTCCGTTTCTCTGCCTGTGCAACCTCCGCTGCCTGGCAGGCCTATACACTATGTCGGAGGTACATACGCCATCCAGAACGGTCTTGAGCAGCAGCCTCCGACGTCGATGTATTGATGACAAAAGAAGTGAGCAGTCTTCAGAGTGTCCTTATAGAGCTTTTTCTGTCCTGCCTGACATCTCTTCCCTTTGCTGGAGCTCGCCATCAAATACTCTCTTAATGGAGGCGATAGTCTGGCAGCCCAACCAGCTGACAATATTGATAGCTGGATGAAAGTGACTTGCGCAAGGACTTGGATTTAAGCTAGGAAGAGTTGTGCAATTCGTCGACCTCACTCTCTCGCCTGTGTCAATCTTGATCCAATGACAGGACAATGTCAAGACGATTGGAAATGGACCTAGGTGCAGTGGATAAGGCGTCTTAAGCGCACTGCCTTGGTCCAAGCTCTCCACAGAGCCTGCTGGTAAACGCCTTCTTGTTCGTTGAACCAATAAAAGGTTTAATCTGCATAATTCGCCGAGTCCTGTCTTTGCATGCAGTTGAGGCCAGGCAGGGGCACTCTTACTTCGAAGGACACATCCCTAATTAGTCGACTCTTACAACATGATTGTTAGCAGGGGTCATCCCGTCTATTCTTGTTGTTTTTCCCCCGTACAAAGGGACCCCGGATGTTCTATTGATGATCGGTCAGTGTACAACTGGTGTTGAAGTCATCTGGTTGTGTTTCAATATCATCTTCTGTTCTTGTCTTGCTCCAGTCCAAGCTCCTCTTCCTTATCATCGTCGTACATTATCATCTCCAGCATCAGTTCAGACAGTCCTTCTTCCTTGTTCGTCGGCTGTAAGCTCCGGCGGAAAGTCCCGGTTGTTCGTCCATATGGACTTTGGCTTTGTGTCAGGACCTGGATTTTACGTGTGCATCCTTTTTACCGGCTTATTTGTGTGCAGCTGGTTGTTCCTTGTCGCTCGGGCAGATGCATTCGAACTTCAAATAGTTGACATTACGACATGCTTGTTGGGGAGGCAAGGGTCTGTACTTGTTTTCCCCCACAATGAGGCCCCGAGACCCACACGTAGAAGTACATTCAACCCATCACTTTCCGCCCCCTAGTGTAACTAATAAACATCTAAGCGTCGTATCTGATCAGCACGGCGCCTCATTTGAGCAGTTTTCACTAGTGATTTGTGGCTTTGAGAAGCTGATCATTTTGTATCACCACTATCGTCAACATTAATGGTCTTGAAATCCAAATGTTGTTGTGGTTGTTATCGATCCAGAGGCGCATGAGCTTTCGCCATTTGGCCCAATGCCATGTAGTGGAATTTGCAGGTTTTCACAAGCTGTTCTTTTCCTCCGTACAAGGTGTTCCAATTGTTCTTGACATCCGATACACGAGTTGGTCTTGCTAGTCATACTCGCCATCGCCATGGGCCAGAATCCACAACCCTTCATCTAACACAGTGTAAAACTATAGTTTGGGACGACAGAGAGTTGACATGAAGTCCTTAACATTATCATACGACCCATTGAAAACACGGTGTCCGTGCATGTATGTAGGCTGAAGTTGTTTCTTGGATTTCAACTTTCTTCAGGTAACACACACCAGTCCAATCCTGGCTGTTATTGCTCTTTCTGACTGAGTGACTTTCTATCCCACCAGGACGTCACACAAGCGATAAACACCCGATGACACATTGTGCCACCATGCGGATGAGGATCACCGTGGAGATGTCCCAGAAATCGCGTTCAGCCATTAGACCATATTTAAGGCTGGGCTATAGTGTGGCCCCTGGAAAGAGCCAGCGTAGGGCTTCAAATAACGAAAAATTCCATCCTAAAATGGACCTGAAGTATTTGGCTCTTTCAGGCTATGGCTTTGTCAGATGTGACAGAGCTACAGTATAAAAGTAGATGATATTACCCGTCTTCTGTTTACGCCCAATGTTGGGTGGCGTATATCAAACCTTTGGCGGATGAGTGCATTGGGGAGGTTACTAGCTTTATCATAAAAAGAGGAAGTTCAGTCTGAAAATTTCATGTTATGGCAGGGCAGACCAAGCCGTTAGCATTGGTTGGAAGCTGGCCAAGGAAGGAAGCTCCGATAGGCTGACAGGCAGAGCACTGCTCTTTATAACCGGCGACTTCTGTAGTGTGCTTTGTTCCAAATATTTCCTTAGGAGCAAACAAGGCAAAAAGGAGGTTCCCCATGACTACCTATAGCACATTGTAACACTATCGTCTGGAAAGACGGAAAGATGTCAACCAATTGCTCTTTTGATGCAGGCAGAATGAGTACTGGAAGAAAAGTCGTAGCACCTTGGCCGTCAGACTGCGACCCAAGGCCGTGTGCGACTATGTGCCCGGCATGAATCAGGTGTGTGAGGACTTTGTTGAAAGGATTGCTTACCTGAAGGATGACACCGGAGGCACACACCTGGTACCTCACCTTCTCAACGAACTTAATAAGTTCTTTATGGAAAGTGAGTATTATTAAATGCTCTGTGCTCACATGCTGCTCACCTGCTCTGTGCTCACCTGCTCTGTGCTTACCTTCTCAGGCATTTACCTATTCTACATACCTGACTTGCATCCTTCCTGTCTGTCTGTCATCGATTCTATCTGTCGGTCCGCTGTCTGTCCATATGTCTGTCCATGTCTTTCTACTGATTCTGATCCCCCCCCCTCTCCCTTTCTGTCTTATGTATGTCTTACTCATTTCTTCCCATCTGTCTGTAGTTAATTTTTTTGTCTGTCGTTCGTCCGTCAGTCTATCTGTCTTATGTCTGTATATCTTATGCCCGCCCATCCGTTTGTCCGTCTGTCTGTCCATCGGTCTGCCCACCCATTCGTCCATCCGTGTGTCAGTGATTAAACCTCTTGAATGAATTAATTGGGCGTCACTTCAAATGTCAGAAACACACCGTGACATATAAAACCAGATATGCCAGACATGGCACAGTCTTCTGTGCTTATCTCTTTCAGTACTAGCAACTCACCAACGTTTCTTAGCCTTTTCAAAGATAATATCATGTTCTGGCTGTCTGTTATCAAATACATGTGTTATGTTAACTGCTTGTATCTGAATTATTGTTTCATCATTAATCACTTATCTTCCCTTTGTGTCTATGGTATGACTTTCTTCAGATCCAGGCACTAATTAATTTTAATCTCATCATAAATAGAAGACGTTGCAGTAACAATTGCTTGGGACTGAAAGAGTTAAACCTAACACTAGTTAACACGGTGTATGATGTAAACCACATCACGTTATCATGTTTCCACTCGCAGCTATCGTGTTTGTGATGTTAAACAAGCGACTGGGATGTCTGGACAAAAACGTCTCTGGTCAAGTCAACGGATTCATTCAGGCAATCGCTACTATGTTTCTCACTGGCCACCAGCTCATGGTCTTTGCCAGGTTTCACCAGATGTTGCGGACTCGCCCTTGGAGGGACCATGTCAAGTCCTGGGACCAGATCTATGAGTTTGGTAGGTGTTTTTGTCGGGAGGCTTCTGCTTGGGAGTGTAAATGTGTGTTCATGTGTTTGTGCGTGTATGTGTGCGTGCGCGCACGCGCGCATGTAAATAGAGACATACATTGAAGGAGAGATGCATGGTATTGGCTGGTTGGTTGCTAAATATTCCAGAAGACTGTGAGATCTAAGTAAAACTCCTCTTTTAGCGTTCACTGGCTGTAAACTCTAGTGGAAAGCTCTGGTAGTTTTGTCCACTCCTGGACTTTGATTCTCCCAGCGTGGCACCAAACTACAGTCTCCACATTTGACACTTTTAGGGCTTTCTTGTTCTTCTGCAAGTTGAGAAATAAGCGAGTTTTTCGCTGTTTGCCTAGACGTCCATATCTGTAGAGAAGGACTGGGTCTGAAGGCAGTGGTGGGTGGCTCTACACCGTTCACGGCTGACAAGGGTTCGTTTCATTTTCGTGCCAGGACATGTGGGGGTTCAAGGAAATGAGCAAGCTGATAGACTTGCAGGTAAGTCTACTGTGAAAACCGGACACACCATGGACCAGGCTGGTATACTGAATGCTCTACGAGATTAAAGACGTTTGCGTGAACCAACTGAGAACTGTGAATCTGCAACCATGGTCAGACTGCAAGAACAGCAAGTTAAAAGGGGTGTCGCCAAACAAGAACACTACTCGGGTAGCCAAAGAAGAAGAATAAACCAACACAGAACTGGTGTCGTTAGCCACTACACGCTGCGGGATTTACTGAGGAGGGGATCTGATCACATATGGACAATGGTTCGACGTGCAGTAAGAACAATCTGTCGACTAACTAACTAACCAACTATCTGTAAAGAAGAAAAATTAAATCAGATACTTAGTTGGTAATGTTTCATCCGGGTGTTGCGGGGTATTTCATTGTCAATACATTTGTAACTGAGTACCCAAAGAGGTCAGTCGACTGGAAGGGCGTGGTCCATGTTGAGATAGGTGTGGGAACAAATAGTGACCTGCATGTATGAGTCAAGTAGATATACATACAAGTGTGTGGCTATGTGTAGACGTCCATATCTGTAGGGAAGGGCTGGGTCTGAAGGCAGTGGTTGATGGCTCGATTAACTAACTAACCAACTATCTGACATCATCATCATCATCATCAGGTGCCTTGCCGACTGGCGTGGGCAATCATGCCTCTACATAATCTGCAATCTCCTGCAGCTTGTATCAGTTCGTGCACTGACACACCTCCATGCCATGCAACAAGACTGTCAAGCATCTTCTCTCGTTGTCTTCCTCTATCCCTCCTTCCACAGATCTTTCTACAACATGTGGTCACAACATGTTCTATTTTCCCTCTTCTCATAATATGGCCGAAAAATGATGACTGTCTCCTTCTGATGTGTGTGATAAGTTGTCTTCGGGCTCCCGCCTCTTTCAAAACCTCTTGGTTGCTCTTTTTGACTGTCCAAGGTATTCTAAGCATTCTTCTGTAAAACCACATCTCTGAGGCCTCAAGAAATTGTTCGGCCTGCCTGCCGATTGTTCAGGATCTGACATAAGTAGACATGAAGGAAGGCTGTGGACTGGTAAGACTGCTAAGCACTTTCAGCATTGACCGTAAACAAGACAGTGCTACCATTTTCACTTCAACTCTAGAAGCTTACACACATTTACTTCCCTGGACAATTCCTGTGATATGGGAGTGAATACCATGTCAATAAATGTTTACTTGCAGCCGCCCAACATGTGAATCAACGTATCGACGAAGTGAGCACAGAGCTGGAGACGGGCGGGCCGCCCCTGGAGGGCGAGCACGTTGATTTCCTCAAGTACGTGGTCGGCACCAGACAGCTGACCAGGGAGGAGATTGTCGACAATGTCATTGAGGTTTTCATGGGCGGCATCGACACGGTACATCTCTCTGTCTCTGTCTGTCTCTGTCTCTCTCTGTCTCTCTCTCTGTCTGTCTCTCTCTCTCTGTCTCTCTCTCTCTGTCTCTCTCTCTGTCTCTCTCTGCCTCTCTCTTTCTCTCTCTCTCTCTGTCTCTCTGTCTATCTATCTATCTATCTATCTATCTATCTATCTATCTATCTATCTATCTATCTATCTATCTATCTATCTATCTATCTATCTATCTATCTATCTATCTATCTATCTATCTATCTATCTATCTATCTATCTATCTATCTATCTATCTATCTATCTATCTATCTATCTATCTATCTATCTATCTATCTATCTGTCTGTCTGTCTGTCTGTCTGTCTGTCTGTCTGTCTGTCTGTCTGTCTGTCTGTCTGTCTGTCTGTCTGTCTGTCTGTCTGTCTGTCTGTCTGTCTGTCTGTCTGTCTGTCTGTCTGTCTGTCTGTCTGTCTGTCTGTCTGTCTGTCTGTCTGTCTGTCTGTCTGTCTGTCTGTCTGTCTGTCTGTCTGTCTGTCTGTCTGTCTGTCTGTCTGTCTGTCTGTCTGTCTGTCTGTCTGTCTGTCTGTCTGTCTGTCTGTCTGTCTGTCTGTCTGTCTGTCTGTCTGTCTGTCTGTCTGTCTGTCTGTCTGTCTGTCTGTCTGTCTGTCTGTCTGTCTGTCTGTCTGTCTGTCTGTCGGCCTGACGTATGTTTACAGCTACCAAGAATGCTACATGACGCTGAAGCCACAACAGTAAATCGCCTCTGTCCATATTTGTGCAGACAAAAAGACATGGTGGTTGATGGTGAACCTGCATCTGTCCTGGTAAAACAGGCAGTTGTTGTTTCAGTGTGGCTCATTTTATATTTCAGTCCGAAGGATTCATTTATTTATTTCATTATATTCAGTGGTTACTAGCAAGTTAAAGTGAAGGGTCAAAACAGTATATAGTGTAATCTTTTGTTTGTGACTTTTTTGTTGAAATTTACAACTGGAAAACAATGCTAACGTTTACAGCTCCATCTCAACATCAACAGTGCTCAGTCACATTAAGATTTGTTTGTCTAACATTTATCAAGCAAATTCGACATCATTATCCATCCTGATCCTCAGACTGCTAACGCTACGGCATTCCTCTTCTACCTGTTGTCCAAACACGAATCAGTGCAGACTCGACTGGTGGCAGAAATTGACAGTCTGCTAGGGAAACGACAGGCAGACAGTTCAGATCTTCAGCAGCTACCTCTCCTGAAAGCCTGTGTTAAAGAGACGCTGAGATTGTTCCCGCCGATTCCCATCAATGCAAGAACCACAACCGAGGACGTTGCTATCGGCGGATACCACATACCCAAAAATGTGAGTACTTGTGTGTTTGTTAGCCTGCTTGCCGAATCTTGTTTTCCCAGACCAGTCCTGGATTTGGGCCTCAGCCAAACACCTTACATCTAAGGACTTTACAGTCTGCAGGGACTGTTCCTGTTTGTTTCACAGCAAAAGAGAATACAAAATGAAGTTAGAGCAACTGTGTCTCCAGACAAACTGTCTGCACTTAGCATCATATGTCCAGGAAGCATCATGTGTCCAGGAATAATCATGTGTCCAGGAAGCATCATGTGTCTATGAAGCATCATGTGTCCAGAAAGCATCATGTGTCTAGGAAGCATCATGTGTCCAGGAAGCATCATGTGTCTAGGAAGCATCATGTGTCCAGGAAGCATCATGTGTCTAGGAAGCATCATGTGTCTATGAAGCATCATGTGTCCAGAAAGCATCCTGTGTCTAGGAAGCATCATGTGTCTAAGAAGCATCATGTGTCCAGAAAGCATCATGTGTCTAGGAAGCATCATGTGTCTAGGAAGCATCATGTGTCCAGGAAGCATCATGTGTCCAGGAAGCATCATGTGTCCAGGAAGCATCATGTGTCCAGGAAGCATCATGTGTCCAGGAAGCATCATGTGTCCAGGAAGCATCATGTGTCCAGGAAGCATCATGTGTCTAGGAAGCATCATGTGTCTAGGAAGCATCATGTGTCTAGGAAGCATCATGTGTCCAGGAAGCATCATGTGTCTAGGAAGCATCATGTGTCTAGGAAGCATCATGTGTCCATGAAGCATCATGTGTCCAGGAAGCATCATGTGTCCAGAAAGCATCATGTGTCTAGGAAGCATCATGTGTCTAGGAAGCATCATGTGTCCAGGAAGCATCATGTGTCCAGGAAGCATCATGTGTCCAGGAAGCATCATGTTTCCAGGAAGCATCATGTTTCTAGGAAGCATCATGTGTCTAGGAGGCATCATGTGTCTAGGAAGCATCATGTGTCTAGGAAGCATCATGTGTCTAGGAAGCATCATGTGTCTAGGAAGCATCATGTGTCCAGGAAGCATCATGTGTCTAGGAAGCATCATGTGTCTAGGAAGCATCATGTGTCTAGGAAGCATCATGTGTCTAGGAAGCATCATGTTACACAGCATATCTTGTGATGACGTAATCAATAAGGAAATAAGGACACACGTTTTCACTTGCAATGTAGAAAGTTTTAGGCTATTATGTAAGATAATTTCTTTTACTTCGCAAATACAGTCTCTATTATTTATTTTACTATAAAAAAACGACAATATATTTCATCTATTCATATATTTAAAAGGCGTATGTATTGTAACGTTTTCTGAGATATGCTGGTCTCATTTAAAACGGTTGGGGCCTCATTGCTTTATATATACACATATATGTTTATCTCAGGGCCTTAACAAGTCTAAATGCGGTCCTGTCCCTGACCTTTGAGGAAGGGGGGATCAAGTAGGTAAAGTTTTACTGGGCCACTTGTACTGACACATCAACTACTATTTCACAAACGCAGGCTTGACATAATAAAAAAAATCTGATGCAAAATCAAGAGCACTTGGTGACTGTGCCATCAAAGACATTCTACATCCACAGGAAATGACAATGGCATGTTCTGCCCATTGAGAAATGGATGGCAAACTTTCCTTCCTACGAAACTTACAGCCGAAAGAAAACGAAAATTCATGAAGACGATGATGACGAATGTGACTTTACAGGTTGCAGTTGTCTCCCATTGACCTCTCACGGAATATCTCATCACGGTGCAAGCCACCCACAGCACAGACGAAGCTTCGGCTAAATGGTGCTAGAGACAGCACAGACGAGGCTTCGGCTAAATGGTGCTAGAGACAGCACAGACGAGGCTTCGGCTAAATGGTGCTAGAGACAGCACAGACGAGGCTTCGGCTAAATGGTGCTAGAGACAGCACAGACGAGGCTTCGGCTAAATGGTGCTAGAGACAGCACAGACGAGGCTTTGGCTAAATGGGGCTAGAGACAGCACAGACGAGGCTTCAGCTAAATGGTGCTAGAGACAGCACAGACGAGGCTTCAGCTAAATGGGGCTAGAGACAGCACAGACGAGGCTTCGGCTAAATGGTGCTAGAGACAGCACTGACTGTTAATTTTCTGCTGTGGTTAGGTTTCATATAATGAGAAGGAGGAAACTGGGGTACATTGTGACAGTGATTGGTTTATAAAATATAGGTCCAGCCCTATATGCCTAATAGCCTACACGCGTGGAAAAGGGTTCTTTATTTTATTTTTACATTGTGACAGTGGGAAGGTTGGAGGAGAAGATAGACAGAGGGAAACAGAAAGAAACGATGCTGGATAGTTTGACATCATGGCGTGTTAGATCATCTGTATCAGAAATGTTTGAAAGTACACGGGACAGAAGGACGTGACTACCAACGCCACACGGCCTAGATTTTAAGAAAAAAGGTTTCCTAATGTTGGAATATTTGCCATCAAGGGGGGGGGGCAAACTATAAAAATACACACACGTTCCTGGTTCCTTCAGCCCAGTTACAAATTGCCAGAACTTTAAAACCTTATTGAAGTGCGCAGTACAAATAATATATTAAGCTCTCCTCACCCTCATTATCATGTGCCATGACAACTGGCGTAGGCGCTCACGATATCCCTCCATGTCATCATCTCTCTTGGTCTGCCTCTACTCCTTTTTCCACTGATCTTTCCAGTTGTCACGATGTTCTCCAATGTCCCTCTTCTCATTATGTGGCCAAAGAACAGTGTTTGTCTCTTTCTTATTGTTGTATATAGAGATCTGCTTTCATCTACCTCCCCTCTACAAGATCAAAAATCAACAGGTTATGCAAGACTGCAGCTTCAAGTGCCCAGAGAAATATATAAGGATGTAGGCTTGCATTGAGGCCCCGCAGCAAACATGGACTGCTTGAGATGAGGCCTGGCTTGGATGACCTTTCCTCAAAAAATGAAGTTAAAATATAATGACTGGGGCTTCTGAGCTGAAATGCTGTAGAAAGGTCCTGGGAATACCATGAATTAATCAAGTAACAGAAGGTATTGTGAACGGCACTCATAGATAGAAGTAGAAAGATAGAAGAACACACTAGACAACATAAAAATCGAAAGCTATAGTTACCGTGCCGGGAATTGAACCTGTCACCTCCAGACGGCGTCTGCGCCTCGCCATGAATACAAGTGCACTAAGATACATGGTCAACTAGGCACCCCCTATAAAGGTGTCTCATTGGCCATGTCTATCGTACAGCTTGAAATTCACGACTATGGAATACGGACAGAATTCATTTCAACCCATTGAAATGGCACCATAGGTTACAGAAATTTATATTAACGAAGCAAATGTCGAATAACAATCACAGCAACAATTTACGAACACAGTAAGACCTTATTGCTTTGTCTAGAATACACAAACATTTAAGAAAGGTATTTGTTGGTAGGTTCCGGTGTGTATACGTCATTCCTATAAATAAACAGAGGGGGGAACCATTTGAGGCCGTTAAATATTATGAATTAATCAAGTAACAGAAAGTATTGTGAACGGCACTCTGGAAATACCATGGACAAAGAGGAAACAAGAACTGACATCATAAATGATCTGAACACCAAGGGAGGTTGCCCAGTAAACAGCATCTTGTCTCAGAAAAACAAAATCATTGCAGAAGGCTTGATACCCTGAAGGAAGGCTAGGGGCCAACCAACACGAAGATCATCATCATCAAGCGCCTTGCCAGCTGGTGTAGGCCTTTATGCATCTTCACAAATCTCAGTCTTTGGTGTTTTGGATCAGTTCCACTGATGATATTCCACCATGCCATTGTCTTAAGCCATCCACCATCATTTTTTTTTTTAAATTTTGCCTCTGCCTCTGCTACCAGAGATCATTCCAATCATTACGACATTTTTCGGTGCTCCTTTTCTCATCACATGACCAAAGAACTTTGTCTCCTTCTCATTCGTCTCATCACATGACGAAAGAACTTTGTCTCCTTCTCATTCGTCTCATCACACGAAAATGATCAGTGACTCCATGAATGTTAAAGTGCACGAGGCTGGAGAGCTGGTGAGAGACCGAGCGTCTTTCAGGCAGACCGCGAGGATAGCTACGTTCTGTAAATGAAAGTCGAGTTACAGACAGTGACGTCTGGTGGCTCAGATCTCCAGTAACTGTAGGCAGTTGTGCAGTGCTGATCCACTAGCGGTAGTGCTACTTTAGTAAGAAGATCATTACATTGAAGTCTCGTCTCTCGTGTGTCTTCTACACTTGCTTACTCTCTACTACCTTATTGTCTCTCCTGTTTCTTCTTCTTTTTTCTTCTGCTTTCACATCTCTTTTTATTTCATCCTCTTTATTCAGCCCCTCCTCTTTCTTCATGTGCTCTTCAATATCTTCTCCTTCTCATCTCCTTCTCCTCCCTCTCATCTCCTCCTCCTCCGTGGTGTAAAAGCTAGACGCTCACCTCCGGGTCGGAGGTAGTGGGTTTAGATCCTGACGAATCCAGACGTTGAAAAAAAAATGACTTGGCTCGCGGGTCGACCAGGCCTGCAATGGGTACCAGATACAGTCACAGGAAGTAAAGGCGGCTGATATGATGCTGACCACATCACCCACTGAGTGCCGATTGGTCTGTAAAATATAGGTCTAGCCCTGTGTGCCCAGTGCGCCTGAAGGCGTGAAGAATGTTCCTTCAGTTTACCTTGTTTAACATGGCATGGGGTACTCGAGAGCCAGTTACCATCAACATGTATCTGCCGCCCACGCAGACAATCTTAATGATGAACCTCTACGTGGTGTCACGTGACGAGACAGTGTTCCCGGAGCCAGACGAGTTCAGGCCAGACCGGTGGCTGAGGGGGGAGGAGACCAGTGCTCATCCGTTCTCGCTGATACCTTTTGGGTTTGGAACCAGGAGTTGCGTGGGTGAGTTCGGTGCTGTTTCTCTCGTCATGCTCAGTGATAATGTACTGTGATTCTTTCACCTCATCAGACTTCTTTTGGCAGCATTTCTTCATATCTCTGTTTGCCTATCTGTCTTGATGCCTTTGTGTCTGTCTGCATGCCTGTCTGGATTCTGTTTCGCTGCCTGCCTGTTATCTGCCTGTCTGGATTCTGTTTCGCTGCCTGCCTGTTATCTGCCTGTCTGGATTCTGTTTCGCTGCCTGCCTGTTATCTGCCTGTCTGGATTCTGTTTCGCTGCCTGCCTGTTATCTGCCTGTCTGGATTCTGTTTCGCTGCCTGCCTGTTATCTGCCTGTCTGGATTCTGTTTCGCTGCCTGCCTGTTATCTGCCTGTCTGGATTCTGTTTCGCTGCCTGCCTGTTATCTGCCTGTCTGGATTCGGTTTCGCTGCCTGCCTGTTATCTGCCTGTCTGGATTCTGTTTCGCTGCCTGCCTGTTATCTGCCTGTCTGAATGTCTTTGTCTGTCTTTGTCTTTATGCTGGATGTCCTTGTGTATCTGTCTATTTTTGTCTGGATGTCTATCTCTGCCTATCTCTCTCTGTCTTTCTGCATGTCTGACTTAATATCCTTGTCTGTCTGTCTGTGTATTTGTCTGTCTGGATATCTTTGTCTGTTTTTGTCTGTCTGTCTGGATGTCGTTGCATGTCTACTTGGAAGTCCTTTTTCTGTACCTGTATATCTGGATGTTTGTTTTTTTCTGTCTAGATGTCTTTGTCTTTGTCTCTCTGCATGTTTGTCTGTCTGCCTGCCAATATGGATATTTTCACCTGTTTGGCTTGATGTATTCGTCTGTCGTCTGTTTATCTGTCTGTTGTCTCTGTATATCTCTGTGCATCTCCGTCTCAAATTATCAGTCTGCATTCTGTCTTCATGTATTTTCATGTACTACAGAACCTAAGTTCTTCTATTGTTCTTTATTCTTTTCATGGCTTTGTTTCTTTCTTATGTATATGTGTCTGTGTGCGTGCGTGTGTGTGTCTGTGTGTGTGTGTGTGTGTCTGTGTGTCTGTGTGTGTGTCTTTCTGTGTGTGTGTCTGCGTGTGTGTCTGTCTGTGTGTGTCTGTCTGTGTGTGTCTGTGTGTGTGTCTGTGTGTGTGTCTATGTGTGTGTCTATGTGTGTGTCTGTGTGTGTGTCTGTGTGTGTGTGTCTGTGTGTGTGTCTGTGTGTGTGTCTATGTGTGTGTCTATGTGTGTGTCTGTGTGTGTGTCTATGTGTGTCTGCCTGTGTGTCTGTCTGTCTGTCTGTCTGCCCGCCTGCCTGCCTCTCTGTCTGTCTGTCTGTCTGTCTGCCCGCCCGCCTGCCTGCCTGCCTCTCTGTCTGTCTGTCTGTCTGTCTGTCTGTCTGTCTGTCTGTCTGTCTGTCTGTCTGTCTGTCTGTCTGTCTGTCTGTCTGTCGGCCTGTCTGTCGGCCTGTCTGTCTGTCTGTCTGTCTGTGTCTATGTGTGTCTGCGTGTGTGTCTGTCTGTCTGTCTGCCCGCCTGCCTGCCTACCTGCCTGTCTGTCTGTCTGTCTGTCTGTCTGTCTGTCTGTCTGTCTGTCTGTCTGTCTGTCTGTCTGTCTGTCTGTCTGTCTGTCTGTCTGTCTGTCTGCCTAGAATAATAATATTGAGAACTGGCTCATTGAATCTCGTGTAGGTCGGCGGATCGCTGAAACACAGATCTACCTCTCTACCATACAGGTCAGTGGGGCTCTGCTCTGATTATCGATGTTGTGACTGTTTTCGTTTTGTTGTTGTTGTTGTTGTTGTTGTTGTAATCATTACTGATCTTATTGTGTTCTTCTTTTTGATTTCCTTTTCTCGGTTTTTCTTTTGTTGTTGTTGTTGTTGTTGTTGTTGTTCTTCTTCTTCTTCTTCTTCTTCTTCTTCTTCTTCTTCTTCTTCTTCTTCTTCTTCTTCTTCTTCTTCTTCTTCTTCTTCTTCTTCTTCTTCTTCTTCTTCTTCTTCTTCTTCTTCTTCTTCTTCTTCTTCTTCTTTTTCTTCTTCTTCTTCTTCTTCTTCTTCTTCTTCTTCTTCTTCTTCTTCTTCTTCTTCTTCTTCTTCTTCTTCTTCTTCTTCTTCTTCTTCTTCTTCTTCTTCTTCTTCTTCTACTACTACTACTACTACTACTACTACTACTACTACTACTACTACTACTACTACTACTACTACTACTTCTACTACTACTACTACTTCTTCTTCTTCTTCTTCTTCTTCTTCTTCTTCTTCTTTTTTTTTTTCTTTTTACTCCGGTCCGTCTGTTTTTCTCTCCCACTTCTTCTTTTTTGTTCTCTACCTCCTCATGTTCTTCATCTTCTGCTCCCTACGTCTTCCTTTATATTCACTGCTCGTCTCTGTCTGCATTGTTTCTGCCCTCTCCTGTCACGCAAAAGCTCTATTGACATTGATTTATGCTTGTTTTACACATTTACTCCATCACTTGAGGTCCCCAGACATTGATTTATGCTTGTTTTACACATTTACTCCATCACTTGAGGTCCCCAGACATTGATTTCTGCTTGTTTTACCCAGGTACTCCAACACTTGAGGTCCCCAGACATTGATTTCTGCTTGTGTTATACAGGTACTCCAACACTTCAGGTCCCTAGACATTGATTTCTGTATGTTTTATACAGGTACTCCAACACTTGAGGTCCCCAGACATTGATTTCTGCTTGTGTTATACAGGTACTCCAACACTTGAGGTCCCCAGACATTGATTTCTGCTTGTGTTATACAGGTACTCCAACACTTCAGGTCCCCAGACATTGATTTCTGCTTGTTTTACACAGGTACTCCAACACTTCAGGCTACAAAAAAGTGACTTGTTTGACATCAAGCCTTCAGTTAGGACACAGCTCACACCAGGACCCGAACTGCCCGTCATGTTTGTACAACGCTAGGCGTCCCAGCCGCTGACCAACAACCACATACCAATTGTATTATATATGTTTATATATTTATTTATTCACCACTATTTACCCTACGACAATGTGACATAGTCAGTGAGTAAGGAGGGGTGGGTTATCAGTCTCACGCAGGCACGTGAGGTGAATCTCCACCAGGACAAAGAGCTTGTTTTTATCAGGATGAAGGACAGAATCTGGCCTCATCACTACCAGTTATCTGCATGGGTAAGGAGCCTTTATGTCCGATAACTTGATGACAACTTCCCAGCAGATACTTACAGTGGGGCCAGATATTAGAACCATCATATTTTCGTGTCATGACAAAAATCGATCCAGACTAGAAGTAAAACTAGTCTGCTTCACAAAAACATAATCACAAACGACAAAATAAATGTTGCGGCTAGAATTCCCTCATCATCATATACACAAATGAACAGTGACGTACAATAAAACAATTTGGCTTATCTGTGGCAAAATCTCTATGACTGGCGCCAACAGTAGGCACATCTGCGTGTGCATGTTGTAGTTACAGGACAGAAAGTGGCCCAGGGAGGTGGGACTGACGGCAAGGGATGTAGCTGGCCCAGGGAGGTGGGACTGACAGTTGGCAAGGGATGTAACTGGCCCAGGGAGGTGGGACTGACAGTTGGCAAGGGATGTAACTGGCCCAGAGAGGTGGGACTGACAGTTGGCAAGGGATGTAACTGGCCCAGGGAGGTGGGGCTGACAGTTGGCAAGGGATGTAACTGGCCCAGAGAGGTGGGACTGACAGTTGGCAAGAGATGTAACTGGCCCAGGGAGGTGGGACTGACGGCACGGGATTAGTGAACGAGAGGTGGGGACTGAGAGGTGGGACTAGACCCAGGGAGGGTGGGTATGACAGGCAAGGGATGTAACTGGCCCAGGGAGGTGGGAGACGGACAAAGTTGGCAAGGGATGTAACTGGCCCAGGGAGGTGGGACTGACAGTTGGGGGAGGGATGTAACTGGCCCAGGGAGGTGGCGGCTGTGGGGACTGTACAACCCCGTTGGCAAGGGGACTTAACTTGGCGCCAGAGAGGTGGGACTGACAGTTGGCAATGGATGTAACTGGCCCAGAGAGGTGGGACTGACAGTTGGCAAGGGATGTAACTGACCTAGAGAGGTGGGACTGACGGCAAGGGATGTAACTGGCCCAGAGAGGTGGGACTGACAGTTGACAAGGGATGTAGCTGGCCTAGAGAGGTGGGACTGACGGCAAGGGATGTAACTGAACCAGGGAGGTGGGACTGACGGCAAGGGATGTAGCTGGCCAGGAGAGGTGGGACTGACGACAAGGGATGTAACTGGCCAGGGGAGGTGGGACTGACGACAAGGGATGTAGCTGGCCTAGGGAGGTGGGACTGACGACAAGGGATGTAGCTGGCCAGGGGAGGTGGGACTGACGGCAAGGGATGTAACTGGCCCAGGGAGGTGGGACTGACGGCAAGGGATGTAGCTGGCCAGGGGAGGTGGGACTGACGACAAGGGATGTAACTGGCCCAGGGAGGTGCGACTGACGGCAAGGGATGTAACTGGCCCAGGGAGGTGAGACTGACGGCAAGGGATGTAGCTTGCCAGGGGAGGTGGGACTGACGGCAAGGGATGTAACTGGCCCAGGGAGGTGGGACTGACGGCAAGGGATGTAGCTGGCCAGGGGAGGTGGGACTGACGACAAGGGATGTAACTGGCCCAGGGAGGTGCGACTGACGGCAAGGGATGTAACTGGCCCAGGGAGGTGGGACTGACGGCAAGGGATGTAGCTGGCCAGGGGGAGGTGGACTGACGGCAAGGGATGTAGCTGGCCCAGGGAGGTGGGACTGACGGCAAGGGATGTAGCTGGCCCAGGGAGGTGGGACTGACGGCAAGGGATGTAACTGGCCCGGGGAGGTGGGACTGACGGCAAGGGATGTAGCTGGCCCAGGGAGGTGGGACTGACGGCAAGGGATGTAGCTGGCCAGGGGAGGTGGGACTGACGGCAAGGGATGTAGCTGGCCCAGGGAGGTGGGACTGACGGCAAGGGATGTAGCTGGCCCAGGGAGGTGGGACTGACGGCAAGGGATGTAGCTGGCCAGGGGAGGTGGGACTGACGGCAAGGGATGTAGCTGGCCCAGGGAGGTGGGACTGACGGCAAGGGATGTAACTGGCCCAGGGAGGTGGGACTGACGGCAAGGGATGTAGCTGGCCAGGGGAGGTGGGGCTGACAGTTGACAAGGGATGTAAATGGCCCAGGGAGGTGGGACTGACAGTTGACAAGGGATGTAACTGGCCCGGGGAGGTGGGACTGACGGCAAGGGATGTAGCTGGCCCAGGGAGGTGGGACTGACGGCAAGGGATGTAGCTGGCCAGGGGAGGTGGGACTGACGGCAAGGGATGTAGCTGAACCAGGGAGGTGGGACTGACGGCAAGGGATGTAGCTGGCCAGGGGAGGTGGGACTGACGGCAAGGGATGTAGCTGAACCAGGGAGGTGGGACTGACGGCAAGGGATGTAGCTTGATCATTTTAAGATAAAACTGTTTTACATTAAGGCCCTTCGGAGAAAGGTTGACAATTGACAGATAAGACGATGTTAATAAACTTGCAGACTTTTTCATTCCAATGACTAGACCTAATTAACGGAACTTAAATAAAATCAGAATTGGCTCTCAGAATGAATAGGTACTGATTTGGGAGCATCGTTCTGCCCATCAAGCATTCATATTTTAAGGGATGTACGGAGTTTACTATAGCACGGCATAGTCATTGTGAAACGTATCAGAACATGACACAGGTGTTTAGTAAAGCTGATCGACATTTTTGTTTCACACACCACACACACACAAACACACACACCCACACCCGCCCACCCACCCACACACACATCCGCCCACCACCCACACACACACACCCACACCCACACACACCGAGGAGAGAAAAAGTGAGGGGGATAGAGAGAAAAAGTGAGGGGGATAGAGAGACAGAGCAAGGGAGAATAAAGGCAAAATATTAGACAGGTAGATCATAATTAGTTCTATATATAACAAACATTTCTGAGTAGTTATTGAATTGATGTAATTGGTACAACAGTCTTTCCCATTTGGTGATCTCAATGGAATTAATCCTAGTTTAAGACCACAATAGCCACCTTTGAGGTGCTAACCTTGTGCGACACATTCCCCTCCACTGAACAGTGAAGATGAAGAAGACATTCGTCAAAGGTATTATTGACCTAAAATAATTATTTGCCGACCTCCCTGAAGGGTAACGACCCCTGTTTTTGAGAAACAGGTCGCATAAGTAGACCATATCTGTACAACCATATTGGCTGTTGTCAGATTCCAGCTTCCAAAACCTGACAGAAACATAGGAGTCCAGTCTGTTGCTATTGGTTCAACCGACAGGTCACGTGTTATTTGATATCATCAAAATGGTTGAAGATATTTCTGCTGTGGGGTTGTCCTTTATTGGGTTTGTTGTCCCGCGGGTACACAGACTTAATCCCTGTTATCTATGGACAGTTTGATTCAGTGTCTACCAAGGTCTGAGAGCAGACTCAGCCACGAAGCAGATATATCACGTGTCACATAGATGTTAGGATATTCGTGTTATTTTGTCTATGGTGTCGTCATTATCGATAGGATAATCATAGTTGATGCAACTATTGAAGTATTGTTTTACAAAATACAATACTGTTAACTTTACCACGTACTCTTCCTTCTGCTTCCTCTTTTCCTTTGCTTGTTGTTTTGTTCTTCTACTCCTCCTCTGCCAAGCCACCTTCTCCTGCCCCTTTTTCTCATCCTTATTCGCCTTTTCCTCCTTAGAAACCCTTCTTCTTCCTTCTCCTCCCCCAACCAGCTTCACAACACTGCACAAATGACACTGATCTGACGTGCCAGCTATGTAACACAAAAAGCTATATAGATAAAATTATAACGGCAATCACCAAGAAGGACTCCCACTGATTGTCAAGTAAACCTTCACTATTTTGTGGCAGCCTTTAGGACTCGCTTACTAAAACGTTTGGTGCTCACCTTATTTGTACCCAATGTTTGTTATCACCATGTCTTTACCCAGTGTTTGTCGATCACCATGTCTGTACCCAGTGTTTGTTATTCACCATGCCTGTACCCAGTGTTTGTGATTCACCATATCTGTACGCAGTGTTTGTTATTCACCATGTCTGTACCCAGTGTTTGTTATTTACCATGTCTGTACCCAGTGTTTGTTATTTACCATGTCTGAACCCAGTGTTTGTTATTTACCATGTCCGTACCCAGTGTTTGTTATTTACCATGTCTGTACCCAGTGTTTGTTATTTACCATGTCTGTACCCAGTGTTTGTTATTTACCATGTCTGTACCCAGTGTTTGTTATTTACCATGACTGTACCCAGTGTTTGTTTTTCACCATGTCTCTACCCAGTGTTTGTGATTCACCATGTCTGTACCCAGTGTTTGTTATTCACCATGTCTGTACCCAGTGTTTGTGATTCACCATGTCTGTACCCAGTGTTTGTTATTCACTATGCCTGTACCCAGTGTTTGTGATTTACCATGCCTGTACCCCGCGTTTGATATTCACCATGTCTGTACCCATTGTTTGTTATTCACCACGTCTGTACCCAGTGTTTGTTATTCACCATGTCTGTACCCAGTGTTTGTTATTCACCATGTCTGTACCCAGTGTTTGTTATTCACCATGTCTGTACGAGTGTTTGTTTGTTACCATGTCTATACCTGTGTTTGTACACCAAGTCTGTACGCAGTGTTTGTGATTCACCATGTCTGTACCCAGTGTTTGTTATTTACCATGTCTGTACCCAGTGTTTGTTATTCACCATGTCTGTACCCAGTGTTTGTGATTCACCATGTCTGTACCCAGTGTTTGTTATTTACCATGTCTGTACCCAGTGTTTGTTATTCACCATGTCTTTACCTAGTGTTTGTGATTCACCATGTCTGTACCCAGTGTTTGTTATTCACCATGTCTGTACC